CTCGTCTCGGGGGCCCTCAGTCTGGCCCTCCAATGGTCTGAGGGACAGTGAACTGGCCCCCTGTTTAAAAAGTTTGAGGACCCCTGAGATATACCATAGTTATCCTTAAAAAGAAGTAAAGTCCTGACACTTGATATAATATGGCGAGTAACAGAAGCCAGACACACAGAACTCCATTTACACAAAATGTCCAAAATAAGCAAATGCGTAAGGATAAAAGCATATTAGTGATCATCAGGGGCTGGCTGAAGGAGGAAATGGGAATTTGTAATGGGTACAGGTTTCTTTTTGGAGTGATGGAAAATGTTCTGAAATTATATAGTGATGGTGCGTGTATAACCTTGTGATTACATTAAAAACTACTGAATTATACTGCAATTTTAAAAAATACAAAAAGGTGAAACAACAAAAACTTAACAACTTCTCACTGATGGAAGTACAAATTATTCTTCTTATTTATGTTTGAAAGTTAACATATATTGCTTTTATAAACAAAAATCATATTGTCCTCGTCCCTCTGGTTCATCCCATCAATTACACAAACGTGCTATCATTTCCCTTACATCATCTTATAAAATCCAAATCTCTCGCTTCTCCTTAATTCCCCTGCTGGTTATCTTGTTAGGTCTCTGCTTCCTTTACAAAATTTCACTGAAAGAATAGTCTGTATTCACTGTCTTCAATTCTTCTTCTTCAGTTCTCTCTTAAGCAGATTCCGATCCCAGTTCACTGAGACTGTGCTTATCAAGGGCACCAACTCTGTCTATATTGTTAAATCCAATGGATTAAAAAAAAAAAGCAAACCAGTGGTCTAGGCTCTGTCCTCATGTCAGCAGCATGTGACAAAGCTGATCATCTACTGTCTTTGAAACACTGGGAAATAACAACCTTGGTTTTCCTTCTGTCTTGTCAGTTATCCCTACTCTGTCTCCTGGACTTCCCAAAGTGGAAGCTCAGTGTTCAATCCTTAACACTTTCATTTTTCTACCCTCCATCTTTGTAGATCTCATCCCGTTATCAGTCCCCACAACACCCACAATGAACTAACATTCAGAGATACTACTGTAGTTCTTCCATCTTTTCCCCTGCCCTGTACTTAGATGGAGACAGTGTAAGTTCTAACCTTGGATAGGGAAGACCTGCGTGGGACTAGGCAGTGAGACCGCAGGTCCACCCTACTCAGAAGTAATGGAGAACACACACACACACACACGCACACACATTTTCAGTTCTCTTACAATCATCCTGAATCACGAGTGCAACTAATTAACTGCTAACCAACTAACTAAAGATTGTTGTCCTATAAATCCAAACCAAGCAGAGAACAGGAGGTACTTGAGCCAGGATGAACAAATGCCACTAGGTGGTGCCAAATGACCCCAGGAAGAAGGACCTGGATCTGGAGGCCAAGCCACGTTAAACTCCAAAGCAGGCTTGCCCTGTTACTCTGCGGCCTTTATGATCACCAAACCCCATGTTTGGCATGACTAATTTTTTCTTTCTGGTATTTATGCACTGACAAATGCTAAATTTGAAACTCCAACCCTGACTTCTCACCTGAAATCCAGACCTATCTATCTATACATTGCTCCTTCCAGGTCTAGCTGCCCCAAACTGAACTTCCTCTCTCACCTCCCCAGACAGGCTCCTCCTCGTCTTCTTAACCCTTTCCTAACCCAAAAGTGTCAGAGTCATCGATGGCTCCTATTTCTTTCACATGACACATCCAAATCTACCAACATACCCTCCTATTAATACCTTCTCTACATACACACAGAGCCAACCCACTTCTTGCTACCATGATCTGTGCCCTGGATCACTGCAATAATCTGCTGATTGAGCTCCCCACCCCATCTTTTGCACTTTTTAATATATCCCTCAAATTAGCAGCCACAGTGATTCTGTTAAAACATAACACAACCCTTTGGTAGTTCCTCATCTCACTCAAAACTACAGCTAACATCTTTAAAATGGCTTCTAAGGCTCCACACAGTAGGGACCCTCACTTACTCAAACCTGCAGGCACGTTCCCACTGTAGGGCTTTTGCCCTTCCTGTTCCCTCTGCATGGAGGAGTCCCTCCCCCCCAGATAGCCTGACAGCTCTTTCTGCCTGCTTCAACTTTGTTCTGGTTCTATGGAAAACCACCATTTCCCAGCCCCCATCACTCCCTACTCTCTGTCTCTATCTACTACATGTATATTGATTTATATTAGTATGATTCCACACTAATAGTATAGAAGCCACAAAAGGGCAGAAATTTTGTCTGCTTACTGATTTTTTTCAGTACTTAAATTAGTTCCAAAAATGTAATGAATACTAGATATTTATTAAATGTTAAAAACATGGAAAATGTTACATAACAAAAGTTATAAAACCATATGAAAGAAGTATAATATAGATTAAGTTCCATAGATAGAAAAAGAACTATAGTACGGTCCTATAATTTAAACTAGATTTGGGTTATAGGACTACCACTTTTTAACTGTGTGACTTTGGGCACGTTTCTTTCGAGTTCTCTCTAAGCCCTAACATGCTTGTCTATAAAGTAAGAATAATAACAGCATCAACTTTAAGTGCATACAGTGCAGACAAACCGGGTGAATGCACACCTGCAAGGAGTGCTTACAAGAGAACCTCAACC